AAAAGTGATTTTCCCAGAAACATGCACAAAGGGGGGCCAGTACAGAAAAGGAGGTGGCTTCAACTTCATTATCATGCATATAATGATAAATTGTCTAATGAGAAGAAATAATCTGGCCAGTTGATGGTGATTGATACTCTCATGTTTAAACACAATTAATTTCTATTGAAAATGACTGATTAAATATCTCTTCACCAACTCATTATGAAAACTGCTTCATCCACTGTTGCCGGCGGATTATTATGGCTGAGATTTAGGCACATGATCATTCTTTTCAATTCACCGGTAATTAACTTTACAGGTTATGGAATTTGAAACTGCCATGTCACATTACTTAATAAATAAGTTTTGGGAATCGGGTCCTTGATAAGAATATGCATTTTGGATGAAAAATGCTTTCGTGAAGTGTCCTTAAAAACCTAGACACGTGGCCACATCACAGTTTTGGGTTCAATTGAACACATTCAATTTTTAAAAAAAATGAAAAAAATCTTGATATATTATAAAATTTAAAAAAAAAAAAATGTCATCCCAACTTCACCTTATAAAAGATATATTGTAAACGAGTCGGCTCGACTCGTTTGCTACAGTACCAAGCTCGAGCTTGACGAGGGTGAAAAATCGAACTCGAGCTCGATGCTGAAATTCGAGCTAATCGAGCCATTGACCTCGATCTCTCCATGTTCTTGATTTCTCTGTCGAAACTCTATTAACAACATCACAAATCACAAATTCACAACAACAAAACCAGACCAAACCAAACCAGAAAACACTACAACTCTCTTCGCAAGAATCAGAACTCGTGAACAAAACTCCCAAAAAACTTCCAATCCGTAACTAAGGATCACAAACCATAAATTCACAATAACAAAACCAGAAGATAGAAAGGGACAGCTTTGATGAAGAAATCGAAGATGAAGAATATATATAGAAAGGGATGGCTTTGATGAAGAAAAGGAAGATGAAGAGATAGAAATGGACGGCTTTGATGAAGAGGATAGAACGGAATGGCTTTGATGGAGAATATAGTGACAGGTTGGAGAAAAGTTTTGGTGGATTCCCCTAATAAATTACGAATTACATATTCCCCCCACTAAGCCAAGCCTGTTGAAGCTCGCCAGCTGAGCTTTTGGCTGTTCGAACTTGACTAGCCAGCTTAGTCGAGCTATTTAAGCTCGATTTCGTCTCGAGCTTTTTCCGAGCCGAGCCGAGCTGCTCGGCCTTGCATGGACTGCAAGCTGGTACCCAATCCCATTATAGAACTTAGCATGGAAATATTAACTGGGCCAAGCCTAATGGGCTTTGGTCTCAGAGCTAGTCCACAAAACTCGACAGGCCGAGTCAAGGCCCATTTGAAAATCATGTTTCATTTTAAATTTAACAAATAATTTATATTTCACTTTCCAAAATCATGTAATATGCTCGGGTTTTTATTTTTCGGTTAACGAGAAATTCTCACTTTCACTTTCATTAAGTTTGAATAATTGTAAACCACCATTTAAAACAACTCATTTTCTTGATTATAACATTATTTCTGTTTGAGTAAATCCTAAATATAAGTATTTTGAGAGTATGAATATGAATATGTAGATGCGTAATTAGGGTTTGATAAATAANTACGAATTACATATTCCCCCCACTAAGCCAAGCCTGTTGAAGCTCGCCAGCTGAGCTTTTGGCTGTTCGAACTTGACTAGCCAGCTTAGTCGAGCTATTTAAGCTCGATTTCGTCTCGAGCTTTTTCCGAGCCGAGCCGAGCTGCTCGGCCTTGCATGGACTGCAAGGCTGGTACCCAATCCCATTATAGAACTTAGCATGGAAATATTAACTGGGCCAAGCCTAATGGGCTTTGGTCTCAGAGCTAGTCCACAAAACTCGACAGGCCGAGTCAAGGCCCATTTGAAAATCATGTTTCATTTTAAATTTAACAAATAATTTATATTTCACTTTCTAAAATCATGTAATATGCTCGGGTTTTTATTTTTCGGTTAACGAGAAATTCTCACTTTCACTTTCATTAAGTTTGAATAATTGTAAACCACCATTTGAAACAACTCATTTTCTAGATTATAACATTATTTCTATTTGAGTAAATCCTGAATATAAGTATTTTGAGAGTATGAATATGAATATGTAGATGCGTAATTAGGGTTTGATAAATAAAATAATATATCCTTTAGTATGTGTGTGTATATATATATATATATATATTTGCTTAATATTTAACCTTCCACCAAGAATTTAAGATGATATAAACGATCTTTTCATCCTTCTTCATATTGTGCTCCCCACTTTGTTGAAGAACTTCAATTTAATTTTCTTCTTGTTTTAGCACTTTACAAATCAGTAGTTAGTAGATGATATTTCTTTTCTAATGAAGTACTTTTTTTCTCTAATCCTCATCAAGAATCGTTTTATATCTTTAAGCTGACACAAGTGAAATTAAAGGTTTCTTAGCTGGATAGTTCATGGATTATGCCATTCTTAATTTAATACATAATAACATTATTAAAGCATAGTCAATTAGGTTTTTGTCTTTCTGTTGATCATCTTTACATCCGTTCTCAACTTGTGCAAAACTGATTTCTTCTGCCATTGTAATCGTGACTCTCCAGTACTCCACGCAAAACGGAAGAATTAAATGCAACTTTTCTGATAAAAACGAAACAATTTTGGAGATCTAGGTAATCAAGTACTGATGTTTCCTTCTGCTAAGGGAGTTTAACGATTCTAATAGTCCAACATCGCTAAGGAATTATTTGACTTGGACACCATTACCAGCCGGTTTAATGCCATTTGTGGCTGTTACAATTAATACTAGAGCAGGACAACCTTCCAAGGAAATCTTGTGGATTGGCACCCATCTGGGACGGCCCTTACTGCAGATGGATGACCTGAAGGTATGAAGTCTTGCTAGCTGAGTCTATCAAGCTGCCGTGGACGTCGGTTCTAAGGAGGTGGATTGTCACGAATTAATAGCTTTGAACTAGTTCTACTCATTAGTGATTATTGTTAAGAGTGAGACTACTGGTGGCTTTAAAAAATTTCTAAGAAGTGCTCCAGACTTAGCTAACTTATGGCATATGATGGCTGCCAATTTTCATCTTATTTTTCTGAATCTAAAATTATTGGTGATGGGGTATGTCACTCAGGCCTAACTAGAAGCCATAGAACAAAACAAAATGTACATTTTCAGAGTGTTCATTGTCTCTTTGACCGGCTACTGTATATTCCTGCATTATATTTTTAAGTTCAAATCAGTTATCGAACTTGTCTAAATTTTGAAAGAATTTTATGCCACATATGCTTGTTTTAATATTTTCATGTGATCAAAATTTTATTCCTTTGATATATTCTGTTTCATCAACTGGTAATCAGAATCTCCGATTTGTTCAATATAATATTCAGAACTCAAATCTGGGAAGAATCTTGTATTTAATTAAATTGAAATCTTTCATCTATTGCCTTAGAATAATATCTAGAATAACTAGTAAGAAGACATAAAATCTCCTGACCTAGAGTGGAAAGAAAATTAATTAAGATTTATAAAGCTCAAAGTAAATATGAAAAGACTGAACTCCCTCGAATAATCCTTTTTTTTTTTTTTTTCTTTAGCCAGAAATCTTCTAACCTTGCTTTTACGAATTCGAGTGCGAAACTGAAGCTAGCTAATACGTCTCTCAAACAAGTTGAAACATAAGAATGGCTGATCATGAAAAGATTATTACCATCTTCAACCCTGACAGCAAACGATACTTGAATATTATACCCACTTAAAGGTGCCTCGCACTGTCGCACACCAAATATATGAAACCCTAAAATTAATGCAGATGCTCCTGAAATTGTAAAGAGAAAATTAGAGATCTTATAAGAGGTACAAGTAAATAATTTTGGAAGAGTGCCAGTTTTTTACCACTTTCTAGTTGTTTCCCATGTCTCAAATTTAACTCCTAAAACAATGAGAGCATTAAAATACAAGCAATACGAAATTCAGAAGAAACAGAAATTCTACATAAATCAAACAGATTTCGTGCAGACAATGCATGGTACTATAAAAATATATATGGGGACCTCTATAGATTACAAATCAAGCTTTGTTTTTCCATAAAAACGAAACAATTTAATCCCTAGAGGGCATTAAAAAGATCTCATACCTGATTGATGTTTGACAATAATATCATTATCTCTGAGAGGTTAGCTATTTTTACATAAAAAATTAAGACATGATAGCAATTACTCTACAGCCTAATTAGAGGTAAAATGTAAAACTATTTTTTTACCTTTGTCCTTTTACCACGAGTAGAGCAGATTGGAAGAAAAAATTTGAGACTGTATGGCCCTTACCCGGCCCCGTTGCCAAAATATAATTTTCTAGAAATTTTGCGCAAACCGATTACTAACAGTCACCACCGGAAGTTAGGCATGCACCGGTGCCGGGAAAATGGCGTCGGGGGTGCTGTAAATCAGTTGATTATCACGATGCAAGCGTCTATATGACTTAACTTGATACAATCTGTGTTACGGTACTTCAATTTATTGCCGACGCCATTGTGCGTCAACAACGATTTGTGTAAACGCCAATTTCAGTTCCCAGCATTAGAATATACACAATTTCCTATAATGAATATTTATAGTATCACATGAATATTAGAGAATTTATAACTTTTGTAATATTTGGTAGACTAACAATGTACAATTCTTACACTAAGAGAACTGCCAAGGAAAAAAGATTTAAAAAAAAAAACAGATAATTAAAGCACAAAAACCCACCAATTTATTATTGTTTCAATACCAAATTGAATGACACAACCCTGGAATCATCTGTTAATTCATGAAAAACCTGAAATCTTTTAATGAGCATGAAGTAAGCTAGAGGCATCTAGGTTTCAATTTTCTTGCACTTAAGAATTGAGAGTAATTCGTGAAGAAAATTCCCGAGTCAGTTACTTACTTACACAGAAAATAAACAAAACCCCAATTGTCACACACCCATGATAACTCTTACCTTCTCATCAACAAGTTAAAGCCTAAAAAAAATTCCTATGGAGAAAACCTTAAATTCTCTCTCTCTTGATGATGATTCTTTCCCTTCTCCCACAAATTCTCCACATCTTCATTTCCTACCATGTGAAAAACTTGAGTTCCTCCATAAGAACTTGCAGACAAATCCATGCTCTCAAGCCTTTGCTTCTTGTTACCCTCTGTTGCCAAATTGAAGTACATCTTCATCTTCTCCCATTTCTCTTTATACTCAGTTGCACTCCTGAAATACCCCAAACTCGCCATTTGTGCCGCTATCTCCTCCCAAAGGTTTTCATCCGAATATCCATTTTCTTGGAATTTTGTTACAAGTTGTACCAAACATGAAGTCTCAGGTTCACTCCATTTATTGATGGGAATTTTCTTAGCCGCAGCTGATGATGATGAAACTTCGAATCCTCTTCCTGTGTATTGTTTCAATGCCTCCATTACTACGGCGTCTCGCGCTTCAATCCAAGCTCTCTCTTTAGCCCAAAATTCATGCACTTGATCAAACCGAGCCACCTCTTGATTCCTCCATTCTTCCTCTTTACACAATCTTTCTTGCTCTTTATCTTCAATAGTCTTCAGCATTCTTTCCATCCACGCCTCTTGTGACTCCATTAGCTTCCGCATTTGTGAATCTACATACTCCTTAACCTTCTCCTTCCAAGTCTTCTTAACCCTTCCATCACTAGCCCCTTTCTGCTTATTATTCTCCAAGGATTTTTGGTTCATCATAAAGGCAATGGCTGAAAGATCATCGTTATCATTGTTTTCTGAAGACGCGGTTTCGAACTCGGAAGTGTTGGAGAAACTCAGGCTCTGATCCGGGAAAGCCTCTTGGTTGTTTTGAGTTTGGTAAAGAAGACTAGAATTGTTATGATTATGATGATCAAGATGGGATTCCGACAGTGAAATTTGATTATTATTATTATTATTATTGCTTGTTTCTCCGTAGAGGGCTTCAAGTTGGCGAAAGAACCTGTAGTTTTTTCCATCTTGTCTTCCAGCTTTACCTTCCTTTGTTTTCTTGTAATACTTGTACAAATTCTCAAACTTCTCTCTGCATTTCTTATCACTTCTGTGATAACCATGTTCCTCCGCCATTATCCTGTACAAAAAAGAATCAATTCCCGCTTTATGAAATAATTACACAAAAAAATCAGCAAACCCTAGTTCGATTAATAGGCGTTCTCTAACCTCTAATTAGTTACTCAAAAGCATTAATTCAGTAAACAGTAACTCAAAAATGCCTTCAGCTTCATTTATTTTAATCAACATTTCCAATAATTGAATCATAATTAAAGATTTTGAAAACATTATAAACAATATCGATAATATTATTAAATTATGTTGATAGCATTAAATAATCTGCCGGTAGAAAAGAAAAAAAGATTAGAGAAAACCCTCCAAGAAATCGATTAGAAAACTTATAAAACTAAGATAAAACAAGACCTGGTCAGTGGTCTCCCTCTGTTGAAGGAAAGGTTTGTCATATTTCAATTTTCAATCACAAAACTNTTTAAAAAAAAAAACAGATAATTAAAGCACAAAAACCCACCAATTTATTATTGTTTCAATACCAAATTGAATGCCACAACCCTGGAATCATCTGTTAATTCATGAAAAACCTGAAATCTTTTAATGAGCATTAAGTAAGCTAGAGGCATCTAGGTTTCAATTTTCTTGCACTTAAGAATTGAGAGTAATTCGTGAAGAAAATTCCCGAGTCAGTTACTTACTTACACAGAAAATAAACAAAACCCCAATTGTCACACACCCATAATAACTCTTACCTTCTCATCAACAAGTTAAAGCCTAAAAAAAATTCCTATGGAGAAAACCTTAAATTCTCTCTCTCTTGATGATGATTCTTTCCCTTCTCCCACAAATTCTCCACATCTTCATTTCCTACCATGTGAAAAACTTGAGTTCCTCCATAAGAACTTGCAGACAAATCCATGCTCTCAAGCCTTTGCTTCTTGTTACCCTCCGTTGCCAAATTGAAGTACATCTTCATCTTCTCCCATTTCTCTTTATACTCAGTTGCACTCCTGAAATACCCCAAACTCGCCATTTGTGCCGCTATCTCCTCCCAAAGGTTTTCATCCGAATATCCATTTTCTTGGAATTTTGTTACAAGTTGTACCAAACATGAAGTCTCAGGTTCACTCCATTTATTGATGGGAATTTTCTTAGCCGCAGCTGATGATGATGAAACTTCGAATCCTCTTCCTGTGTATTGTTTCAATGCCTCCATTACTACGGCGTCTCGCGCTTCAATCCAAGCTCTCTCTTTAGCCCAAAATTCATGCACTTGATCAAACCGAGCCACCTCTTGATTCCTCCATTCTTCCTCTTTACACAATCTTTCTTGCTCTTTATCTTCAATAGTCTTCAGCATTCTTTCCATCCACGCCTCTTGTGACTCCATTAGCTTCCGCATTTGTGAATCTACATACTCCTTAACCTTCTCCTTCCAAGTCTTCTTAACCCTTCCATCACTAGCCCCTTTCTGCTTATTATTCTCCAAGGATTTTTGGTTCATCATAAAGGCAATGGCTGAAAGATCATCGTTATCATTGTTTTCTGAAGACGCGGTTTCGAACTCGGAAGTGTTGGAGAAACTCAGGCTCTGATCCGGGAAAGCCTCTTGGTTGTTTTGAGTTTGGTAAAGAAGACTAGAATTGTTATGATTATGATGATCAAGATGGGATTCCGACAGTGAAATTTGATTATTATTATTATTATTATTGCTTGTTTCTCCGTAGAGGGCTTCAAGTTGGCGAAAGAACCTGTAGTTTTTTCCATCTTGTCTTCCAGCTTTACCTTCCTTTGTTTTCTTGTAATACTTGTACAAATTCTCAAACTTCTCTCTGCATTTCTTATCACTTCTGTGATAACCATGTTCCTCCGCCATTATCCTGTACAAAAAAGAATCAATTCCCGCTTTATGAAATAATTACACAAAAAAATCAGCAAACCCTAGTTCGATTAATAGGCGTTCTCTAACCTCTAATTAGTTACTCAAAAGCATTAATTCAGTAAACAGTAACTCAAAAATGCCTTCAGCTTCATTTATTTTAATCAACATTTCCAATAATTGAATCATAATTAAAGATTTTGAAAACATTATAAACAATATCGATAATATTATTAAATTATGTTGATAGCATTAAATAATCTGCCGGTAGAAAAGAAAAAAAGATTAGAGAAAACCCTCCAAGAAATCGATTAGAAAACTTATAAAACTAAGATAAAACAAGACCTGGTCAGTGGTCTCCCTCTGTTGAAGGAAAGGTTTGTCATATTTCAATTTTCAATCACAAAACTAGGTAAAAGAAAACATAAAATTTATTAAAAATCAATCTTTGTCATCATCACTGTCCACTGAAGTTGGAGAGAGGGTGAGCAGACAAAAACCAAAATGGGAAATTTTGGATGAAAAATCAGAAATTTGAAGGAAAGAAAATTATCAAATACATAAAATAACAAGTGTGTTTTTGTATACCTTGAGACTTCATCCCACAACGGTTTTTTCTGATTAGCCTCTTTGAACTTAGAATCGAGTCGAGATCTGATCTCAAGAAGCGTAAGCGTCTCTTGCCGTGGCCACCGGCAATTCCCACCTTCATTTCCAAAACTCCATCCACCACTCTCCATATCCACTCCTCCATATCTGGAACTATGAGCTGAACCAGAAGCAGCAGCACCAGAAACAGAAGTATTGCAAGAAATATTTGCGCCACTAAAATTATTGTGATGATGATCGTGACCAAAGCTAACCAATCCACCGGGCAACATGACTGTCTCATGCTGATGATTCCTGTGAAACAAGTATGACTCCGCGGCTTGTGGATTCGCCGGAAAGTGGGTTCTACCAGAGACCAGTTGGCCGAGATCAGGGAGGCCGTACTGATTGTTGATATCATCAGCCATTTTTTATTAGGTTTTTTTTTTTATTATTATTAATATTATTTTGATTGAGGAAGAAAGAAACTAAGAAAGAGAGAAAGAAAAAGATGGAGAGAGATAGAGATAGTCAAATAATGTTTGACATTAATGGACTTATTGTCTGTACAAATTGAACCTTTTTCTTAGGGGACAGGATCCGAGTCTACCGCTACTTTCATCACTGCTCCCTTCTTTCTTTGTATTTCTCTCTGTCTGTCTTATTTTTCTCTCTCGTGTGATAATAATAATAATAATAATAATAAAGGAGAGAGTGTTTTCTCTGTTAAGTATTTCTTAGGATTACCCAATTGGATTATGACAAATGTCATAGCATTACACGAGGGTGCATGATAACCTAATGCAAGCAGTGATTAGATGACGCGTGTACAGTTTTAGGATTTCATCTTTTTAACTTTTTTGACCCATCATCTATTATTTCACTTCATTACCTTTCCTTTACTGCAGCATAAAATATGCCAAATTTCTAAACAAAAATATTATAATTAGAATCTAATCTTGTAACAATCGCTTATAATCTTAATATTATAGCAAAATTAGTATAATCATATCAATTAACGACTTTGATTAAACATAAACGATCATTCTTTAAAAACAAACAATCATCCCTACTGTTCATTCATAAATAACAACATAAAGAACAACAATTACTTATGAAAGAATGATCTTTTGTCCCTAAAAAAATAACTGTTCATCCCTAAAAAATAAACGTTCGTCCCTAAGAAACCATCTTTCGTATTTAGTCAAAGTCATTTAATGTGTTGAGTGTAGACGTATAATGAGAGCTATTGAGACAATTGTTAACTCAACTGTCACGTTGAGATGATAAGAAAAGGATGTGAGATTAGATTATGGGCATAGTATTACTCATTTCTAAATTTAATTTTTTTTGTATACATGAACACAAATGATAATCTAGTTTTATAATTGATTAATATGATGATTTAGTAAACCAAATTAAAGATTCATTCTAATCCCATAATATGATAATATTAAAATTGAATTAATGACAAATCTTAAATAATATCGAAGGTTTTTTATTTTTTTTCAATATCCCAACTTAATTTTAAACCCAAATATGTGATTCGGTGTGAAAAAAGAACATAAAATGAGTTATAAATTTGTATATGTTCAGTACGATATACATAGATTACAATAGTTATATTTCTTTATCTCAATATAATCGTCATTTCTGTCCTTTTTTTTTTTTTTTTTTTTCGACCTTTTAGGTCGAAACTTATTGTTCTTCCCCTCACCTTGATAACTCTATCATTAATTAATGGCTGGCAAAGGCATTGTTCACTTTTCAGAAGCTCATGTTTTCCCTGTTCTGTTGGATTGAATTACTATAAAAGATGACAATTATTTCACATCATTTTATGTTTAAGTTTTATTATTTCTGGAATCAATTAATGTCATTGTACAATCAACTCTTTGCTTCTCTGTATTTTAAACCCTTTTCAATTTTTTATTTTTTTTTCAAAAATTAATCTGACATATCATATTTACATGCATGAAAATTATTAAAAGTTCTTATATTGTTAAAAAAAAAAAAAAAAAAAAAATTTATGCATTGATAGTCTTTTCTTGTAATAAAGGGGCCATGCAGTCTCTAATTTTCTACCCTACATGCTCTAAAGTAGGAGATAAAAAGAAAGTTTAACGTTCTCTTATCTTCAGCCTATGGGTAATTAATTGTTTTTATCTACTAATTAAATTTTATCCTATTTTGGATAATCCCATTAAAGCCAAAATGATATATATCACTATCATTATCAACATCAAATTGATAATGATATTTTCTTTTTCATGAATAGGGTTTAAAACGTTTTGTTTCATGGTATATATAAGAGAGCATCATCGGCTCTATTGAATATCTTATAAACTCAATATTGTTTCATGGTATATATAAGGGAGCATCATCGGCTCTATTGAATATCTTATAAACTCAATGTTCTAAGGTACGTCACAAATGCGGTAAGTGGCTCTAAGGTTTGAACTCAGAAAATCAATAAAGGAAGCAAACTTTCTTGACTGTCTGATTAACCTATTGGAGTTGGTATGTATTAACTTCAAATACTTGGAAAGTCTCCTCCGATTGTAACGAACGTTAGTCAAAAGTATTAACTAAAACTAAAATGACAAAAGTACCTCTAACGAGTAATGTTAACATTCTACTTATTTTGTAGCTTATAATTAATTAGTTGAAACTAGAGAGAAAATGCAATTAACTCATTAATATATATGATTTAGAGTGTTTGAACCAATTTATATGCACCTGAACTAATCTTCCGAGACTTTGAAACTACCAATCGAGTAAAGCTTCAGTGATTATCCATATTAGGGGTTATAGAAACTCAAACTCGAAAGATCATGTAAACTTAAATTCTTTTTTATTCTTTTACCAATCGGCCATCCAATGGATCATGTTCATCTAACAAGAGATCACATACAAATCAGAATTAAATGGATCAATATAAGGACTAAATTACTGCATAAATTTTGCCTCACCAAAAACAGAAGATGAAATTCTGAATGAAGGAAAGTTAATTTTTTTTTTTTTCCATTCTTTCTCTTTTCTCAAAACTCTTCCATTGATCGATGTAATCAATTAATGCTGTCAGTTTCTCAGCTTTAGAACCAATATTATGAAATTAAAAATTAATTGGGTGTAACTACAGTACAATCTTTGGGTGAATTCAGTAGGCTCTGGATTACTTGTTCTGACAAAAGAAAGAAAATTAAATAGAATTGAAAGGAACTATTCTTGACATCACTGCACCAGGTGTTTATAAGAAAGAATCTTAACCGTTCATTTTCATGAAAGAATCTCAGTCTCAGATCTGATTACTTATCCCAGACGTTGCCGACCATTATATTCCTTCCTAAAGTTGCTCACTTATCTGACGTGAACCTAAATCCCAGCATGTCAGAATAAAATAAAATAAATTACAACTTAAATTAAAATTTTACCATTAATCTATCTTGAGAGATAATACAATATTCAATCATAAAAATAAGAGTAAACGACTTTTTTTTCCCACACAAGGTTTGCCTTGATGACACTTTTCCCCACAAAAAGTTTCGAATTATTATTTTTCTACTCAAGGTTTATATCTTGTTACTATCAAAGTCGATTTCGATGATAAATTTTTTTTTCTTCACCATCATTTAAACATTCGGTCTTTCTCTATAAATTTTCTCTCACTCTGACATCTAATTTCTCATTTATTGTCAATTACTGCAAAGTTAAAGTTTTTTGTTCTTAGCTTATTTTCAGCTGATTTCAACATTGAATATTCAATCGCTCACCACCAACCGTTCAATCTACTTATCTCCACTCTACAAAAATCTTCTTACCCTATCTCCTAGTAACTCGCTGAGTGCCAATTAAGAAAGTAAAATGTATTTTAAATATTAACGGAATATAAATGCTGAGTGAGAAAATGGTATTTTGAAACTTTTTTTGATGGAAAAATGTCATTAAGGCTGACTTTAGGTGGGAAAAAGTCGTTTACTCTAAAAATAATTACAAAATTAAAAAAAAAAAAGGGTTAATTTCATCCGCTCTTGCGGATTTTCGGAAAGTATTGAATACTTTCTTGAAATAACCAAAAGCTCTTTCAAAAAATTTATAAAACCCTCTAAAATTATTTAAAAAAACCATTAAATGTAATATTTCAGATTAATCTAATATTGAATTTTTAAACATATAATACTTTCGAATTAAATCTCTTTTGAGGGTATTTTTTATCTCATGGCTAAATATCACAATTTGGGTAAAAAAAAAAAAGTTTTTTTTTTTTTTTTGCATAGTATATACATGAAAATAAATCTATTAATTAATTTTTGATTAATGGAATTGACCTAACTTTAATTATAATATGTTTTCAAAAAATTAATTTTCTAATACCAATTACTCTGAGTCATTGACTCGAACCTATTCTAGTAAAGTCAAACCCTTTTCAAGTATTTTTAATACGAACAAAATCAGGGAAATCTCTAAAATTAGAATGTGGACATATAATAATTCCAAATCAAATCTCTTTACAAAGAATACATGATTTTACCGTAATTATATGGTTAACCGAATATACATATGGTGAAATGTAGTGTTATGGTCCCAGTGGAAATTATGAAAACTTTGTCTTAGTGAACGATTAAATTATTTAAATAATAATAATAAATCTTTTTAATCACAAAGGAATTCGATTTATTAACGTTGATGGAAGATTAGTGGGGAATCTCTAATGTCTTTGCCAAAAAGGGAAGGAGGGCCGAAGAGGGGGGGGTCCTACAATCACAGCTGTAAATCACACAATATCATGTCTATGGTGGGGCCATATGGGATATTGATTAAGGGACGGTTTTGATTTGATGGAGATGATCATGATTTTGAGAGACGAAAAAGATAAAGGCCTTTCTGTTTAAGACATAATTAGGTAATCTAATGACTAATCTTTTAAAGTAATTAAATGTTCAAAAAAGATGTTGGAAAATAAACAATTTTGCGATTTCTTTCCTTCTCGTGAAGTGTGAGTGTGTGTTTCTCGTTGCTTGGATTATTCCATCCCATGCCTCATAATGTTCCATATTCAATGTTCTGAAAACCGGACAAGACTGGTTGGTCTAACCGATGATTGACGTCCTCTTTGATCTAAATTTTTCAATTTTACTGTTCACCCAAATCTCTAATCTTACTGCCAGCGCATAACAACAGTGATAGATCCATGATTTTTGCCGAGAGGAGGCCTCTGCGACTCCGCCATTATTTACCAAAGAACTAGTAAAACTTTAAAAAATCACCAAACCTTAATAAAAAATAATAATAATATAATATTAAGAACTTAAGAGAAAATAATATGAAATAACACAATATTTTCCTATTTGAATAAATCTATGAGAAGCAAAATTTTAAGTAAATGTGTTAAGTAAACATTGAACAAAACTTTCTTTTAATATTTTTATTTTTGGCTTTCAAAGATTATAATATAAATTTTTATGACTTTGATCATACATAGTCTAATTAGGCTAAAGTCAACCAAAACTTCAATCAAGTCAACGTTGCGTTGACTTTTAATATGAATTAATAAAAAAATAAAGAATTTTCTTGGTATAAACATAGACAATAACTCAAATTTCTTTAATAATTGAGCAGTTAAATGGTGACGTTTGAAATATAGGAAAGTGGTGAGTGAAAGATGAAGAATAATGTCCTTTAAAATATAGTCAATGTTTTAATTTGAGAAAGCGTGTTCATTCTTAGACACAGAATACAAAATAAACTCACAATATTAATGTCTTTTTCCCTCAAATTATAATAAAAAACCTAAAAAAAAAAAAAAATTAAATCCTAAAATAAACTAAATTGAAATAAACAATACACATACCTAAAATTAATAAAACTAGAAAATTGAGCTAATTATGAAACCTTGAGTAGCGAAAATTTAATAATTTCAATTTTTAAAAGTTTTAAGAGTGAATAACATGAGAAAGAGAATGAGAATGAGAGAGTAAATAATTTTGGGGATAAAATCATAAAAAACAAGTGGAGCCATGGAGAAAAAGAGTGGAAAGAGTTTTAAACTTTTAATATGATGTAGGTTTGAAATATATATATTAATAGTAAGTTTTTTATGAACCTAGATATATGTATAATAGTTCTCATTTTTTTAAAATATAAGGGTGGATCTGGGTATATATATTAATTGACAATTTTTGGTGGCTTGTACATTAATAAATTTTTTTTTTTTTTTTTTAAATATGAGGCCTACCCTCAAAGGGGCTAAATCCGCCCCTGCACAAAAGGCTACTAAGTGCCAAGGTTAGAGGGGTTTTGTAGAGTGGAGGCCAAAGGTTCAAGGGGTGGTGGACGTCAGAATTAGGTTATCAACCGGAATTTGGCCGGAAAAAACAACTCAATATGCGAGTCACGGTCGGTGAACAAGGGGCTACCAAGTGTCAGGGTTAGATGGGTTTTGTAAAGTGGAGGTCGATGGTTCAAGTGGTGGTGTTGGATTGAATTTGTGACGCTGGAATAAGTCAAAATTTGGCCGAAAAATCAACCCAATTACGACGGTGTTCACGAGTCACGATTGGCAAACGGGGGACTATCAAGTTTCAGGGTTAGAGGGGTTTTGTGGAGTAGAGGACTGTGGTTCGGGTGGTGATGTCGGATTGAATTTTGGCCATCGAAATCAACTTGAATTTGGCCAGAAAAGTCAATACTCAAACAGATCACATGAGTGTATCTGCTAGATTTTAAACTTGCAAGGACTGACAAGTATATTTCAGGGATATTTTTGCAAGATTTCAAACTTTTTAGATACCAACATGTCGTCAGTTTGACTAGTCAAACCGTGAGCTGAGTCCTTGATCGGGTCAAGGCCCAGTCCTGTTTTCAAAACATTGGTTCCATTATTGGCATAAAATAAATTTGGATTTTGGTATTTTTACAATATTTTCTTATAATATTATTAATAACTATGTTTTATAATATAAGTTATATATAAAAGATAATGATTCTCAAATCAAGAAGTCCTGACATAAATTTATTAAGATCATGCATATACATCATTAGATCTAGGCAGGGACGTGATGTAGCAAGTGCTTTAGATATGGGTTCACTTGAACCCACTCAAAGTTTGCGAAAAATTAAAAATATGTTTATATTTTATAATAGTTGATAATTTTGAGCTCACTTAAATTTATATTTACCCACAAAAAATTATATTAATTAACAATTTTTCACCTTTTCTCTCTTCTTCATTTTTTTTTTCCTCTTCTTGTCATATTTCTTCTTCTTTTGATTAAATTAATCAAGAAATACTCCTCCTCCAAAGGTCACAAACTAAGATGGCGCTCATTTTTTGTTATTTTGCTTAAAAATCTCTTCTTTTGACTTTCTTAATTAATGAAAAATCGTAAACTATAAACTTTTGTTGAATTTAATAAATAGATTTGAAATTGGGTATATATAATTTTTAAAATAAAATTTTTAGATTACATATTTTTTATACTTATTACTTTAGTATATATTTTATTGTAAATTTATCAATTTAGATGTTTTTAACCCCTATTGACTAAAAATCCTGACTACATCCTTGGATCTAAGTTATAAAATATTATTTTAATCTAATGTAATGAATCTAACAGTGAATATATATGGTCTTAACAAAATTTATATCAAGGAATATATATATATATATATATATATATATGTATTCAAGTTATGATCGATATGGATTAATGAAAATATCGTAATGATAAGTGGTTTAATTATGTTAATCATAGCAATCACATACATCTAAAATTTACGCATAATTGTAAAATTGGCTATTGATTCTCTTGGTTGAATTGATTATTTGTTTAACCCCTTTCTTNGCCGTCAGTTTAATTAGTCAAACCGTGAACTGGGTCCTTGACCGGGTCAAGGCTCGGTTCGGTTTTCAAAACATTGGTTCCATTATTGGCATAAAATAAATTTGGATTTTGATATTTTTACAATATTTTCTTATAATATTATTAATAACTATGTTTTATAATATAAGTTATATATAAAGGAGAATAATTCTCCAGTCAAGACATCCTGATAGAAATTTATTAAGATCATGCATATACATCATTAAATCTAGGCAGCGACGTGACGTAGCAAATGCTTTAGATATGGGTTCACTTGAACCCACTCAAAGTTTGCCAAAAATAAATGCTTTAGATATGGGTTCACTTGAACCCACTCAAAGTTTGCCAAAAATAAATAACATGTTTATATTTTATAATAGTTGACAGAGCTCACTTAAATTTATATTTACCCCCACAAAAATTTATATTAATTAATAATTTTTCACTTTTTCTTTCTTCTTCCTTTCCTCTCCTCTTCTCTCATATTTTCTTCTTCTTTTAATTAGATTAATCAAGAAATACTACTCCTCCAGAGGTCACAAGATAAGATGATGCTCATTTTTTGTTATTTTGCTTAAAAATATCTTCTTTTAGCTTTCTTAATTAATGAAAGATCATAAGCTATGAGTTTTTGTTGAATTTAATAAATAGATTTGAAATTGGGTATGTGTAACTTTTAAAATAAAATTTTTAGATTACATTTTTTTAATGCTTATTATTTCAATATATATTTTATTGTAAATTTATCAATTTAGATCTTTTAACCCCATTGACTAAAAACCCTTACTACATCCGTGGATCTAAGTTATAAAATATTATTTTAATCTAATGTAATGAATCTAACGTGAATATATATGGTCTTAATATATATATATATATATTCAAGTTATGATCAATATGGATTAATGAAAATATCGTACTGATAAGTGGCTTAATTATGTTAATCATAGCAATCGCATACATCTAAAATTTACAGACAAAAAAACTGCAAAATCCATATGTTAACCGTATTCTGAAACAACCTCCCAAAAAAAAACAAAAAATTGGCTTATCAAATTATACATCAAACCTTTATTTTACATCAAGCATTCAAGCAATACACAAAGAACCCCAAATATATATTTTTTAAAATAATATAAACTATAATATTGTAATATTTACAAATTAAATATATTCCCAGGGTTTTAGTTTGTGTTTGTTGGGTGAAATTTACAATTGGAACGAAAAAAAAAAAAAAAAATCGTAATGGGCCGAAAAACAACATTGGGCCACCTCAAGCCCGGTCCAGCAAGCTGTTCTTTTGATTTCTGTTCATTTCAACAATTTACAGGAAAAAAAAATGTTAGGGTTTACATCTCTTACATCTTCGCCATTTCCAAAACTCGTCCCAATTCTTCACCATAACAATTATGATCTGCTTCTCAAAATCAAATCCCAGAAAATTCCTTCAAGTTTCGTCCTTTTCGCGCAAAATCCCAAGAAAAAGGACTTAGAAACCAGTGAGAAAGACGCAGAGAAACAGCAGGCAAATGGGTCCGTTAATGGTGACGATTTGAAGAAAGATCGACGGAGCCTGTTTAATTTAAAGTGGGGTTAGATTTTGGAGCCGGATCCGGATAACATATTCGCCGTTGGATTGACGGGAGTATTGACTTGGGCGAGTGTTCAAGTGTTGTGGCAATTGCTGGTAATTTCGTCGGCCATCCTTGTTGCTTCTTTGAAATATTCTTTCATTGCAGCCCTTCTCCTCTTCATTCTCATTACTCTTCTTTGATTCGAACAATTCCGGCAATGTATTTTTCTTTTATTTTGAAAAATTATATGTATACATAGTATTATTCAAGTTCAAGATATGTTTGGTTATGGTAAAATTCAATTCGTGGATATAAAGATTGTAAATATCTTTGCAAGAATATAATTTTGAGGAGTTTATTATATAAATGATATTTATATATTGCAGTACTAATTCAGTGTCACATTATGTAGAATCTAACCATTTGATAAATTGAAAACTGAAATTAAAATTCCCATTCCCAAAGTTTTAGCTGAGTAAGTTGATTTAGGGTCTGATTGATACAGTTTTTTCGAAGAACTTATAAGAAAATTATTCTAGTGTAACTCATTTGAATAAAGCTTTTATATAAAATTTATAAGGAATTTTTGTAGTAGATGTAAAATAACTTACTTTAAATATATAACAAAATAAATAAAGAAAAATTTTCAAAAAGTATTTATAAATTTAAAGAAACTACTTCTAACTTTACTTTAAATAATAAATACATGGTACATAGGCCATTTGGTTTTTTTTCTGTGCAGATTACACTTTTGAATCTAGGCCTGTTTTTGCCGTTGGCATCTGGTGTTCTTTTTGTATAGGCCTTTCAGAGGTTAGTGCTTTTGTTCCAAAAGCGTGTAAATTTTTTGTGTAGTTGGTGCCTTGGTCCTGGCCAAGGTACTCTGCTCTTCTCTTGAAGAGGAATCCCCTTTCCTAGTTGTATTTTTTATTCTTTTATAAAATTACCATTTACCCAAAAAACACTTTTACTTTAAATAAACTCTTTTGATAAATAGGTCAACCCAATTAAACATGCTCTTATAACTTTTGTGGCCAGATCAAAGGAACTTTATATTGTTCTGGAATCATCTGATTCCAACAACACCGTTTTCAGATCTTAATGTTCTATCTCAGCTCCTTGTAGACTGTTAATAATCTCCAATAATCCTTTTGTTGCGGTCAAGATAAATTCAAGAGAGAATACATTGGGACAGATGATACTACCAAAAGAGAATGGCTATGAAGCAAAATTTCGTTACTATCAATAATACATTGAGGAAACACACCGCCGTTTTCGCATACTAGAAATTATCAAGCAAAACATCTATACTAAATGCTACAGTAGGATGGAATCTATAAAGTTTGTTAAAAGCCAAAAAACTGGAAGACTATAAACACCTACTTTCATCTGCCGAGCCAATTAACTTCACCGTTTGGGTTAGATGAGCGCCCACCTATGATATAAATCGTTCAATCTCAAAAGAACATCATTTCAGAACTTTTATCATATGACCAAATCGACCTGGCAGAATGTAATGCTGATATTGCCCACAAAGTATAACAAGATGGCACATCTATTCTTCATCAAACTTTATCTTCTTTGGAGCTGGCTGTACACTACCCACCTGTAGAGCAACATAAAAATGATGAGTGGCTAAATTCTCAAATTCCTGACAGTAATGCCGCAATTGTGACATAAGATTTAATTATTTCTCTATTCCAAGAGATAAGAATAACGACAATAAACGTTTACCAAGACACCACCACAAGGCAAATAATTGAAAGGGCATGAGCTGTTATCAATGTGAGCACGTGTGTATTATATGACAATTATTGGAAAAGAACATATCACCAACTAGCACACCCTTGTCATATTAACACTATGCAATTTACATTTTTCTTATATTGAACAAGCGCTAGGCAATACACAAGTTACAAACAAACTTGATGCCTGAATATCACAAATTGAAGTCAATTAACCAACAGTGTATTTAGCTTCTAATTAAGCCATTACTAACCTAGTTTGTTTTCATCTAATGCTTAAGTCTGGCCCACATCCCTTTATTATCATGTCAACTAGAACATTACAATTTAAACGACTTATAATCATATAATACTACCTTAATGGAAATAAGCATCAAGACTCTTATTTGATATTTTCCAGAGAGTGACTTCGTGTGCTTTTCTTCTATTTTTATTTTTACAGTCATTGCACTAATAAATGCAATCGGCCACACAACCCTTACTAAAGAAAATAAAAGACACTTGCTACTTACAATTTCTGGGCACTCATACTCAATACCAGCATCTTCTATCCTCTTGCGCCGCTTCTGATCACGCTTCAAAATTTTCTCTACCAGCTTCCTGTGCTCTTCCAAAGTTCTTTCCTGAACAATAATTGAAAAAAATGAGACACTAATTTAAAGAGGAGTTTCTATTGACTTCCATTCGTAGATATTGCAATAACAATATGATTGGAAAATATTTCACTTATGCAAAATGAATTACCTTGTTTTGTTGCCTCCGTTCCACTTGAACCCTATCCACTGGCTTGTATCGGTAATTAAAGCCTCTCCACCTATATGTCCAGGGGGGGAAGCAAAGAGGCATATACCATCAGCAGCCCATTTGTAAAATGTACATGAAGAATGAAACATGCTTCTTCATGTACCATTCCATCATATATAAGCAATAAATGCAAGAAATTTTAACAATGAAACAAACATCTACCTGATGAGATTTAAGACAGTTTGGTTATATTAAAATCTTCATATTTACTCTGATCTAATTTCCATGGACACTAGTACCAGGGTCAAGTATGATACGGCATACACAAAGTGGACTCAAGTGAATGTTTTCCATAACAAGGAAGCAGCTAAAAGATATAAAACAGTAGATTGCTTGGAATTCAACATGCATACACCTAGGTAAATTGAAATGCCCATACATAAATTCCAGAGCATGTAACATGCAAATCCAGATTATCAAAGGCGGGCAAACAATGCCCTCAACAAATTGGGTATTTATAAAGATTTCATGGGGAAATTTATTAATTCTAGTTGTATGCGTCATTTTGGCAAAAGGGTATAAGCACTTCACGATGGACTAAAACTGTTTCAATCCCTTGAAGATGATACATACCACCAACAAACACCATCCTCCTGTCAAAACCATCCCATTAACCCAAAAGAAATCCAAAAAATTAAAAAGGATAAAAGATTAAAAAAATTACTTCACTTCTCTCTCTAAAATTTCCACTGTATTCCCATTCAATTTCTAGTACAAGACAACAATATGTTTTCTTATATTTTTTGATACCCAAAATCCTTCAACCTTTCTCAAGTTCACAAACTGTTAACAATCACCAATTAAGAAACCTTTAAAAATACAAGATTATTAAATTCTTACAATTTGGGATGAACATGCTCTGGAGGAATAAGATGCACTTGCAAAAGGTGCTCAAACAAGAGATAACCATGCATAGTATCAGCCACAACTTCTGCTACCTGCACTCAAAATATATATTTAAGAACAGAGGAACAAAATATCATAGGCACTTCAACTTTAAATCCCAGTGCCATGAAAACAACCTCAGGATCTTTAAATTCGAGGAAGCCAAAATGCTTTGATTTTCCATTCTGTCAAACATCAGATAAGTAGAGTCAGTTGATGCCAACTACAAGATGACAAATGTAATAAAACCACAAAGAAAACATAAAATGCAAGTCATCAATTTGTTAAAAATTCCTATAATCTTAAATAGAGTTTGACATAAAAGAGACAGTGGGGAGGAGAGGACAAAAGAGATAGAGATTATGAACAATCGAGTTGGATATAGCCGAACACAAGAATTTTCAATTCATAACTCAGAGAAGGAAATTTCAAGATGAAAGTCAGCTACCAATGAAAGGCCAATACTAACTATCCACATTCATATCATCAAACGGTTTTCAATTCCCCAGAATTCTCAAGCTGCTTTCCCTCAGGTCAAAACTTAAGATGAAAAATGGAAAAACAACTGCGTCCAGTTAAAGTCAACTACAATAAAATAACTTGGTAAAATGCACTACTCAAATAACACCCTAATGCACTAACCTTTTTATTCCTTGCAATTCTTAGCCTCTTGATTACACCAAATTGGCCAAAGAAAGCTGTGACAACCAAACCAATTAGCAATAATCAGTGAACCCAATAAACATTATCTAATACATATTTGACACTCCATCGAAGCTTTACAACTCATTTACCTTGCATTTCCTTCTCATAGAACCCATGTGGAATCCGACCAATGTACAGAACTGTGGCCTTACATACAGGTGGTTTTTCCACAGGAAGCTTACGCCCAGGCCCTCCTTCAAGCGGCTTTAATACATACAAAAAAAAAAAATATATATATATATATATATATATAAATTTAAAAAAAAAAAAAATGAAACACTAAAAATCACATACATAAGGTAAATCAACTTGAATTGAATCCTGCGCTACTGGGTGTGCTAGGGGAGTGCTGTATAAAAACAGTTGCGTAAAAACAGTTTTCTCCAAAGCATACGAAATTTCAGAAATAACAGACCAAGTGCTTCTCAAAAAGCGCTTTAATTATCCCAAAAATCACTTTCATCTATTACACCCTTGGGAATAGCTTATACAGAGCCAAAACTCATAATAAGGTGAACTTTATTTAACCAAAAGTGCTTCTCAAAAAGTGCTTTTTTTATCCCAAAATTCACTTCCATTTCAGATTAATTGAAACTACAAAACTTATAACATAAACCAAAATTAACATACCAAGAAATCAGCTGCTTCTTTCTTGTCACTCGGGATTGATAACTGTGAAGAAGCTTTCTTCAAGTTCTTCTTCAAAGCTTTCTTTTGCTTGGCCCCCATTTCACTAACAAAAACAGACCCAGAAATATGTTATTCTCACAAAACGATTATGCCAATTAAAACAGAGCTTATTCAATATTCCAAGTCTACCTGGTGTTAATTCATATAAGTCTAAAACATGTAAAATCATAGACATCGAAACAACAAATACAAAACCCAATCTTAAAAACAATTTATTTGTTCATCTTGCTCACCTGAAGAGATGAAACAGAGTAGAGGCACAAAGTGTCGAGAGCCGGACTCTGAGGCTAGGGTTTAGATTATAAACCTTTTGCGGGTTTTATTTTTGGGCTTAAACTGATTGGGTTTTTATTCTTAAATTATGGTCTTATATATCCCCAGCCTGATTTCTAATTGCACCCAACGTGATCAAAGGGCTGTCAATTTTAGACAGCCTTTTTGCTTAATTTGATTTTTATTTTTCAACTCCTTCCTTTCTTACATTGAAATGTCAATTATACCCTCTTAATGATATCACAACTTCACAAGTAGTGGTTTTGCAAGACAATTTCTCATAATTGTGTCCTGCAAAAACAATACAACTTTTTTGTGTCTTTTTTTTTTTTTTTTTTTTATGATCGGAGTGTTCGAGCTAGCTTGTACGCACTTCGATTAATCTCCAAAGCTGATTGAACACTCTATAAGCCTAATATTATAAGTCACAAATTTTACACGTAACCCCAAAATGATTCGAACATAAAAAGTCAATGAAGGAAGTAAATGTTTTCGATTGCTAAACCAACCCCTTAGGGTTACAATACAACTTCTTTTTCTAAGATTTTCTCTCAAAATTTCAAGTTGTGCAATTGCAAAATTCAGTATTATATTTTCCTAATAAGTTGATTAAAGGTAACAGGGTATTTGTCTCTTTTATTTATTTATTTTTTGTGAAAAGGGTAAAAAATCATTAAAATTCATTTTGAGGTCAAGAACGTCTGATTGAATTTTTGTCTTTCCATTGAAAAAAAGAATTCAAACTTTACATTTTTTAGATTTAAGTTAATGTATTATATGAATTCTTAGAACTACTATTTTCAACTAGTAACTGAGCTCCAAGCGGAACAAACTTTACCTACAATGTCAAGGGTTCAAACTGCATTAGAAGCATCTTGCCTGGCAAGGGATACTTACCTAAAACATGTTTTACATACTTAGATACTTGATATCTTGTTAATAAATAATTTAATAATTTTAAAACATTGATCTACAAATACAAAAGAACTCAAGTATTTTTTAAAATTTTAAAGGCTTCGTTTGGTTGGATTTTGGGAATACTACTTTTAATATTCCCAAAAAAGTTAAACAATAAAACACCCCAAAACTCACAATATTATTCAACTTTATTCAACATTTTTTAAACCCCCTAAATTTATTAATTCAATTAAATACCCCTTAATATTTTAATATTTTTATTACGACGACTCCGGCCACCCTCCGGCAGTGGTGGCCGACTGTCCGTATTTGAGAGTGGATTGGGGGTATTTTTATTAACTTTTAATGTTTTATTATAAGGGGTGTTTTGTAAAAAAACAAACATAGGGGGAATTTTACAATTTGTCAATCCTACATCGTAATACCCGCCCAATTCAACTTTTTTTTTTTAACTTTTTTAAAAAAACTTTTCCCAAAAACACAAAATTATGAACCAAACGGAGCCAAAATGATAAATCATTTTTCTTTTATCTAATTAACTCATGCTCATATTGAAAGCTTAGTAAAAATGAAAAGCAAAGTTCAAATTTCACTCATTTACCAGGCTTTTACAAACGCAATCAAATGCTCACAGAACTTGCGAAACATACAAACAGTCAGTCTTATTTTATACATGATTAGCAAGCCTCACCAAATGTGTCACAATTAATCTCCTGCACCTTAGAACAAGCGGCATTGCAGTCAAATATGCTGCCCTCTCGGACTCTTTAATATGAGTCGACATCATATGAAAATGACTAAACTTTACACAACCGCACAACCCAGAAACCACTTCACGCGATTTTTGAGTTTATAATGATGTAAAATTCAGGTAAGTTGGATCAAAGATGTATGACTGCGACTGATGACTGCTCTTATAATGGCACATGAGACTAATGAGCTCTATGTATCGTGCATTGGTGTTAAGCTGGGAAGGAATATTGAAAATGAACATCCCATGTTAGCTGTGTTACTTTAGCTCAACTCGCAAAATATGCATGGCAAATATCCTGCCAAGGAATTTCAAAAACACACATTAAGACCTTGGATTCTGCTAAAATGCTATATTTTGAAAGACGATAAAGAAAGAAAGAGCGAGTTGTGAAGCCACGCTCGATCAAAAAATCTATATATCTGAGACTCAAATAAACACAAGGGCGGTTCACCTGTATAATTAGAGAAGAGAGCCTTACTGCCACATGAACAACTATTCATATGGAATTCAAATGCCCTGTAGATTAGTTATTAAATGTATGCTGACTGGGCCGAAAAATGGAACTCATGAGCAATTGCTGCAAAATTTCCATAACATTGGAGAAACAAGGACGGCTGTCAGGGTCACTGCAACATGATTAAAGCATGTTATCAGAGAGGTAAAGCAACAAATTATTATGTGAAATAGTCTCATTTACCCAAAAAATAAAAAAAAAATAAAAAAAAATCCGAGATAATACTGGCAATCATTTGAAGTGGCTGTAAACATACTCTGCCCAGCAGCTCTCCATCAAGGTAGCCACTGCAGGGTTCACATTGTCTGGAATCTCAAGCCTTTTACCGCTAAAGGCAACGGCTCCAATAACCTGCAAGTACGATATGCCATATTTAATGAGCTACATTTTTAAGATGAAACTGGTTGACTCTTCTGTATCACCTAAATGTCACAAAACAGTACTTAGAAGAACGGAAAAGCTAGATAAATTACTAATTGATAAGTTAAAGCATGTAGAGCTTGACTCCTCTCCACTGACAAGCCATACTTTATCAGCATGTAGAGTAGGCTACACCATTGACTCTATTGAAATTATATGTTTCCATTTCAGACTGGGGCCAAAAGTTGTTAGTGAGTAGCAGAAATGGCGTTCTAATTTATTTTCAGATACTTCAAACAAATCACAGCTAATTGTTTTTAACAGAATCCATTTTGGCATCAGCTTCCAACTGCTCCAAAATAATAGTTAGTGACCTTGTCACCTTTACCTCCAACAGATAAAGTTTCTTACAGAGCCACATTTCAATTACAATCAAATTCAAAGAGCTTATTTTAGCTGATTATCAGGTTTACAAATCTAAAGTCATCAACAGAGATCAAATTTCTTCTTCTTTTTTTTTTTTTTTTCTTTGACTGTTCCTCAATAAATTCATTAAGAAATTATTATTTTGAAGCCACATAATAGATGAATGACCTGCATAGGAGTCAAGTTTTTCCAAGGTTGCTGCAGAGTAATAAGTTCCCACAAGACCACACCAAAGCTGAAGACATCTGATTTCTCATTTGATCGCTCTTCACGTAGAACTTCTGGTGCCATCCACTCCGGCTATTAAAAAATAAAAAAACAGATAGGTTTTAGTATCTGAACTCATCCATGCTTCCGTTATCTAACAATTACAGAAATCTGATAGGTAACATATTTTAAAAGCTTAAATATAACTTACAGTCCCTGCCGCAGTTTTTGATGAGAGATAAGTGTTTGCCTTTGAACGAGAAAGACCAAAATCACAGACCTGGATGATCATATTCACCATATTTAAAGGTTAAGTAAGATGTACATGATTATCATGATTCAAAATTCAATTTACAATGCATTCGAAGTTTTCTGTGTTCAGATGAAATAGTACAGACTACTTAGTTGATGCATAGTGAGCACTAATTGAGTTTCAGCAGTGAGGTTAATGGACTATCTCCTAAGATCATAAAGAGAATATTCATGAATTAAATGTAAGTATCTTCCTCAAAAAATTCTTCAAAGATCCTAAAGTCTGTTGAGACGGAGGCCAAAAGAGAAGTTGACAATTGAATTCTACTTCATGAAATATTAGTAACTTCCTCGCAAACTTCTACAGATCTTCTTTTGAATTAATAGAAACAGTTGGCCGCTTTTAGTGCATTTTTACATGAAAAATACTTTCCCACTCAGCATTAACATAGATCACTCCCTCTTTTAAACTTCTCAAATTCAGCACAGAGCAATTTTCCCATATTGTGATTCAATAACACAAAAAATAGCAAAAACAACTTTTTATTGTTTTTAAATTTTAAAGAAGATTGTTCTTCCAACCAAATGCGTTTTCTAAGTATTTTTTTCTGTATAATATATAAACAGACAATTGTTTTTGCATTCCAAAAAAAACCCTTATCCTACTGATCAAATGAATGGTTGACTAAGAAACAGGTAGACATGGCCACATGGGTAGGATTGGCTTCCACGTTGAATTATCAACTTAACAAGGAAGTATTGTTTCAAAACCTTATCTACCATATATTGACTTAAAAGAAAAGATAGAAGCTTGAAGTTTGAAGAACTCAAAGCAGAATGATTTTCTAACTCTCACCTTAACAGTGTAATTACTGTCAACCAAAAGATTTGGAGACTTTAAATCTCGATGAACAATAGGAGGTCTACGCTGATGAAGATAATTCATCCCCTTTGCCTGTACAGAGCAATAAACATCTCTTAAATCTAAAGGAAAGTACAAATTCATGTCTAATGTGTAACAAGGATAACAATGCAAGTTTTTCACCAGCACATTTCCATTCAGCATTCTTGCTTAGAAACAGAATCAAATGTCTAATATAACATACCACGTCATAAGCCATATTTAAGCGAAGCCTCAAATCCAGTACCTCTCTTGCATCAGGCATCTGCAATAGATTAAACAAGCTGCCTCTGCAATCCAAAATATGAATTTCAATTACTGATACATAAAAGTGATAGCCTTCATTTCTGATGGCATAAATAAAGAGAATATAGAAGAAATCATTACAGAGAATTTTGATACCTTGATAAATATTCTGTAACTATTGACAGGTTTGGGGGCTGGGTAACAGCACCCATAAAGAGAACAATATTAGGATGCCGTAAACGTTTCATGATTGCAACCTAACAAATAATTACAGCCAAAAAATGATATTAAAGAACCAGATAATGTGAACATATTGCAAAGAAGAAAAGGGCTAGAGTTATCTCCACGTTCCAAAGCTGTTTCCATTTTCTCATTTATTTTCAGAAAGCACAAAGTAGCTTCAGCATACCTCCCTCAAAAATTCCTCAAAGCGATCTGCGTGGAATTCTTGCTCCACAAGGATTTTGACAGCAACATCCTAAGAGCAAGAAACTTAAAATTAAACAATTGAATTGCATGCTGCACTAGAACCAGGACAGAAATTTTAACCATATTATTCCACTGCTGCAAAAAATCGAAATGCATTGACGAAACATAAATGTTCATTATTACAGTAAACAAATTACAGTATAAGAAGGAACGTAAAACAGAAAATCATTTGATAAGTCCAGAACCCTGTAAACTACCCTAAGGATGCAGACGATGCAAGCAAATAGACTATGCTCACTACAGTGTTTAATCTGAAATTTATAAGATCAGAAAATTGATGTCTCTTACAGAATTAACAAAACAAACAAAACATCTGTTTTTAAAAGAAAAATAATTTAAGCAAACAAGCGAAGATGGAAAAATAAAAATAACTAGGCAAGCATTCATGGATGCAAGTAGAGATAGAAAGTGTGCCATGTTGTGCCAGCACCGCCTATACAAATCATCAAACTTCATATTAGACATTACAAATAAAAGGAAAAAAAAAAATGTATATATATATACTTACTGAATTACGCCATTTAGCATGATGGACAGTTCCGTAAGAACCTGAAAAGCATTCAAAAAGTCAGAATCCTCCATAGGAAGTCTCTTACAATATTTATGTCATAAAGTATAGCATGCATGAAAAGAAATTTGCATGCATCAACAATTACTAAAGCATGGAGTGTTGATGTCCAAAAGACAACATAAACCTTTCCCAATTTTCTTCTTTAAAACAAGTTCATTCCATGGGATGTCCAAACCTTCCTCTTCAAGATAAAGTTCACTACTTGATGTAGTCAAGACTGACTGAGTTGCTTCCGAACTTGGTGGAACAGTTACAGAACCTCTGTCAAATTGTGATGATTTGATGACATTCAGATTAGATAAGTTTTGTATCTGCATATCTCTATTTGGGGTAACCTTACAAGCACCTCCTTGGAACCGTGATGACACTGAAGATACAAGATTGTTGCTTGAAGTGGAAATAGTGTTATTCTTGTCATAGAATTTCAAGTCAAATGTATTAGAAAACCATGGATGAGTTTTATCATCTTGATCATTAGCAGCACCTGTCATGATGAAAAGAAAGGACAGAAATAAATCACTAGTGGAGCATGTTAATTATAGAGGTCATTGTTCATTTGTCAGTAAAATCTTTGGCTGCCAAGTGTCACTGCTTCAAGCCATAAAACATGGAGACGTTGGGTAATGGCAAATGCAAATGGAACCAAGGATTCACCTGAGAAAACATCATCTTGTGCAATGTTGAGAGATTGGTTCTCAGAGAAATACAATTTGGCTAATGTCCTGAAGTTCCCAGCAGTCTTTACAGCTTTAAACCTTGGATGACATAAGGGTGAAGAAACTAAGACAGAAGCAGAACCGTTGAGAGAGGAATCAGGGTGACTTAAGACTCCAGGCTCCCTAAACAAATCAACCAAGTACTCCCTGGAAAGAATATACATTAATATACTTCCACAAAGAGACAAACTCAAGTTCCTAAGTCTAACTACTTCATAGTAGTTAGCATGCTAACACAGTTCTGAACTGATAGGTCTCTTTTCACAAATATGGTGTATCTTCAATTACTTTTGATACAAGTGTTTCTTTCCCCTCAATATCAGCCTTTATCCTCCAATATAGTAAACAAGTCAATAAACTAAGCTAAATCATCTTATATTATGGCTTGAATAAAAAAATAATCCATGTTCTTAACTTCTCCAAAGCACTCTAACTCTGAACATGCTAATGTTAAGTAAATGCCTATGTTTTGTCACCTTTATAAAGTTCCTTTAGATCTTTTCTAACCTATGAATTTTCCAATCACTTGCCCGGCTGAAACCCTTCGCTGTCATACATTTTATTATAAATATTATGCACCCTTTTAACTCATCACAGTTTATTCAACCGTTTTTTATATGTTATTTACTGATTTTCATCCTAATTACCTGGACATTCCTATCTCTTTAAACTTCCTTCTATTCTATTGAAGCGTCTCCATTGACTAACCAATTTCCCTACACTTTCTCAAGCTTGTTGCTCTGAAAAGTTCAGATAATTAAAAATTGATGAAATGCAACACAACATACCTGTCACAACCAATTTTCACAAGGCAGGAGGAAGCATCATCCCTCCTACAATATTTGCAGCCCTTAGCAATTCGGCAAGGTAAGTTAACTAATTCCGCCAACACCTGAAAAAATTAAAATTACTGGAAAGCTTCATCCTATAAGACCTCTTCTTGAGATTTTAATCATAGAAGAATTGAAACATAGGCTGATGCTCATGAGCCATTAAATCAAAGTTAAAGATTTACTTTAAACAACAGTGCACGATGGACACAGAGGCCAACCGATAAGCTTCCAATCGGGAGTATTACAGAGCTGAGGCAGTCCTCCAGAGTTTCAGAATGCTCTTTCCACCTTTTACCCAATTCTTCTTCATTAGAAGCTGCACCCCTTATGATAATAATGAAAGCTTGTTCAGCAGAAAAGTAGGATGAAGAATTCAAGATGAAGTCAGTTATAAAGGAAAGTAGACAACTCACCCCAGGTGATTACAAACAAGATTTGCAAGCTGACGAACAACATCTTCAGCAGTGATCCAGTTACACGAAAGAGACAGCACCCTGTTATGTAGTTCCTTCAAACCAGTATCCCTAGATTTATTGATCAAAACCACTTTTATTGACAAATCGTTACCAGGATGAATAGCCTTCAACGATTCATAAGATGGGATGAGACCGATGTCATGTTCATCGGTACTAATGGTCCATGCATATGGATCCATTCCATGTATCAGGTAAAACCCATCCGGTATTCTGTCAAAATAAGACAGACAGCCGTTCACCTGATACATGCACAAAAAAATTAGCAGCATATACATGAAGCAGACAAATTGCCAAATCATGGTAAATATTGATAACCAATCATAATCATTTTAAGGAAAATCCAGCTACTACTTTTTTCCACACAACATAAAGAAATCTTCAGAACAAAATAAATAGTGTCTATAACAACATCTTAAGTAATTTAGAGACTAAATATAATGATCATATGCCGAGCAACCCCTAACTGGCAATAGGGAAAATCAATTAGTGCTATTTATACAGTTTATGCTTCTTTGTCTTGCATGATCAAAATCAGCAACCCAACAGTCAACTATTAACTATACCCTTATCCAGAATTTGACAAAACACAATTCTTGTCATCGCTCCGCTGACTTAAGGTTCTGGTTTTCTGGATACTTTAAGAATTGTAAATTCAAAATGGTGATCTTTCATTTGATGCATCTTTTACATTAAATTACTGTTTCTTCCTTTTACAACTACTCTGCAGAACAACTCATTTTCTTCAACCCGAGCACTTAAACCAAAAACTAAAGACACGCAATAAAATAATAAATTATTGATCACCAATTGCTACACAGTGGAATCTCAATCCCCTCATTTTCTCAGAATTAAAAAACACTTTTCTCAGTTACCCAAATGGCAAACTAACCCAAAAAAATTATTGAGTCCAAATTTTCTCAACATTGAACATACCCAGTAAGTGAAATGGATTATTGAGTCCTATACAATGAAAATCCCACATTTTCTCAGCTACCCCAATGGCCAAACTAACGCAAAAAAAATATAATAATATAAATAAAAAAAAAATAAAAAAAACGACAAAAATCTCCAAAAGCAAATACCCAAAGCGATGAGAGAGAGTCCAACAGAACGTTTGCATGTTCGCAGATCAAACTAAGAAATTAGATCAACAGCAGAAGCAGCTTGAGAGGAAAGCCGAAGAGCCAAGCCAACTGCAACTGTAACTCTCTTCAGTCTGCAGAGCCAGCTTTTAAACGACGTCGTCATAGTCGTCTTCCCAACTCCCCCAGAGACTCCATCAACACTCAACAACTCACAATTCAGCAATAAGACCCATTCATTCTTCACAAAACCCAAGGCAACCATGAAAAAGAAGAATAAAAATAAAATAAAAACAAAAACAAAAAGTGATTTTGAAACCAAAAAATGGAAACTTAATTATTGTGGCTCTGGTCACTGGTAGAGACGATAATTTTAAAGAGGGGAAGAATTTGGTTGAATAACGTAGCTTTCATTATCATGGGTTTCAGATCAAATTAAATGAATGAAGCTATTGTATTGTCTTTGTCTTGTTTCCGTTTTAGGTGAGTTGAATTCGAGTCAAGTTTCAACTCTGAACGAGTTGGACTGTTTGTAACAATTCTCTCAGACACTCAGGACCCGCCCAGATACATGTCTGTCTCGGTGCAGTGTATCGGGAGAGGATTTTATCTGCTGCATCTCTCCTCTCATTCTTAAATTTGTCTGAGCCGTTGACTATGCATATTTCTAATTTTCTATATGATGCAACCCCGTTCATACCATAATGTCGATCTGAGCCGTTGGTGTTGATGCAGAGTTTTGTTTTGGAATATCTTATAGAAATCTGCTACTGAAATTGATTCCTCTTTGATTTTTTTCCTCCCCTGAAATACTGAAATTCTTTTGATCCAAAACTATGGAGAATCACACAAGCACCTCCCCTGCGGTCATTTCCCGCGCGTTAGATCTAACTGCAGACAAATGTGGCCATCAAGAAGACAAACTACCTTGTTTAAGAAAAAGGAGTTCAAGGAATAAGATTTATGAAAAGATCATAATACCCCTAGATTAAGAAAATGATTTAAAGGAATTAGAAAAGACTAAAAACCTTGGCTAGAGAGAAATGAGTTTTATATAAAAATAATTTGATTAATATATATCGAAAAAGAGTTCACACCATTTTTTCCAAAACTTTTTTTTTTTTTCAAAATTAAATACAAATCAACTTTTTAATTGTATATTATGTTTTTAATATTTAGAAACATGTTTATATAGAAATTAAAAATTGTTTCCAATTAAAAAATAGAAAACTACAAATTAGACTTTTAATTTTATTTTGATTTGACACTTATTCTTAAGATTGTATCCAAACTTGTTTCCGAAAATATTACGGCTCAATTCCATTAGGTTTTCATTAGATTTTTTGCATATATTATTTTCAAATAATAAAAAGAATTACATTCAACTTATATATATCAAGACTATATATATATATCGTGATTTGAATCAATTGAGCGGTTTATGTATTAATATTTAATAGATTTATATAATAATAATTAGATTATAACTGATTATCTAAGTAAAGTAATGGGAATTGATAATTCCGAATGTGGGTAACATTTAAAAAGAATATTGGAATATGATAAAGAAAACTTAGAAGCTTTTGTTTGGGTTAGTCTCAGTCCTGTCCTTTCGCCCAACAAAAAGTCGACAATTATAGACCTATAGTTGGTTGAAAGTTGAAACTGATATAAAGTTGTATTCCAACATCGTGTGGGAAGGAATTTTCTTAGCGTAGATATTATATTTCTATGGTCACAATCTTCTCTAACCACCAACATATTTTTACAAAATCAGTAAACTTCTACGGTTAATATCAACGTGTTGTCTCATCAACAAACTTTTAATTAAAGTTTTAAACTCCAAGGTGTTTGTCCGTTTTCTTCCTTTAGTTCCTAAGTTCAAACTTAAAATCATCTATCATCACTTACTATAATAACATTATAACTTATCTGATCATTTAGGTTTGTAGAGTATTCAATGAATCTTGAGATTAATAAGGTGCGTACGAGCGAGCCCGAACACCCCTGTTACCAAAAATAATAATAATAAATGAACTTTTAATTTTTGGAATAAATTTCATCCTCTGATTAAACTACTATTCCATTCTTCAGTAGAAGCTTTTTCCTTTCTATAATTGGTAATAAACCCTTTTTCAAGAGTGAGAAGTACACTAAAAACATCATTTTCCCACCAAACATTTCTCTAATTTATATCTAATCTGATAAAATACTTCTTCACTCAAAACTTAAACTGTCGTGTAGGACTCCACACCTATCAATTCCAATTTTAGAAAGAAAAGATCAATTCCTTCTCTTTTTCTTTCTCTTTTTTTTTTTTTTTTTATTCTATTCATTTCTTTCTACCAAACAAGATGTCAATTTCAGTGTTGAAAAGCACTTCTATCATGCTGGTATTGATCAAGATAACAGCACAAGGTGCACGAAACAAGGATAAAATCAAGTTTTGAAGCATCGCCATGTAACATTACCCCTTCCAAGTTATAACAATAACACAACCCTGCAAAACACCTGCAAATATGAAATCAAACAAAGATGGCACAGAACTTTGTCGGGCCTATTTATTAATGCCTTTGAGTTCCATTTCGTTAAGAGATCACTAAGACCATCTCCATCTAAATATTAAATTGGTGTGAAATACTATTATATCTTCAACCCATTATACTAATATTACACAAAAATAATATTTTTAGAATATTCTCTTTATTTTTCCTTTTATTAATAATCACAATTAATCTATCACTAATTTTTTATATATATTAATTAAATATTAGAACTGATATTTTTATTAAATATATTACTTTGAAAATTATACTAATTTATAAAATTAAGCATTTATTTAATCAAATAAACATTATATTTATATAGAAATATACTCTTATAAAATGCCACAAAAAATAATTATTTTACAGCATTCCGATAGATTATAAAAAAAAAAAAAATTAATTCTACCGGAATACTAAATTGTTATTTTTATTGTATTTTCTTTAATTTTAGTGTTTAAATAATGTTAATTTTTATTTTGAGTTATTGTAGTTTAATATTTGCATTGAATAAAGTTTTGTTTTAATTTTTCATATTTTTTAAATTATAATTATTATTAATATTAATATAAATAATAATCAAATTACCATAAATACAAATACAAAAATAAATAAAAAATTAAGGCTTTGTTTGGTTGCATTTTGGAATACTACTTTTAGTATTCCCAAAAAAGTTAAACAGTAAAATACTCAAAAACTCCCATATTATTCAATTTTTTTTAAACCCCCTAAATTTGTAATTTAATTAAATACCCCAATATTTTTAAAAAATTATAAAAACACCCCACCAATCCACATTTACCAGATTCTGGCCACCACTGCTGAAATGGCCAGAATCTGGTAGAGGGCGCACTACCGACTGAATCGGGTCGGTAGTGCGTCGATCTAGCCTTTTTCACAATCCACGGTGGATCTAGCCGAAAAGGCCAGATCTAAGGCTAAAGATCTGGTCGTTACGGCTAATCTTTGGCCGTAACCAGTCGGTAACGACGGCCAACAAACGGTCGTCGTTGACCAACGACGACGACCTTTTTTTTTTGGCCGTCTTTGAATAGCAATAAGCCAGATCTGGCCGTCAATGGCCAGATCTAGCCGTAGATCTGCCCTTTACCCCCGAAAAGGCCATATCGGCGCACGACCGACAAGATCCAACGGTCATGCGCCATACGACACTCCGACCACCCTCCGACGGTGGTGGCCGGCTGTCCGATTTTGAGGTGGGGTTGGAGGTGTTTTTGTTAACTTTTTCTTTTATTATAGGGGGTATTTTGTAAAAAATAAACATAGAGTTATTTTTTAATTGTAAATCCTACATCGTAATACCCGCCTAAATTCAACTTTTTTTTATTTTTTTCAAATTTTTTTTCCAAACACACAAATTGTGAACAAAACGAGCCATAGTATTTGAACAGTGCCACACCAATTTGGCGTGGTACTATCATTTAGGACATCTCCAACCCAACACCATTTTAGTGTAAAAACACCAAAATGACATGACAGATGATCTCCAACCCAACGTCAAGCATTACACCAATTTGGTGTAAACGTACAGTGCCATGCCAAATTTGGGGTAGCACTGTTCATGCACACCAATTTGGCGTGGCACTGTTCAAATACTATAATTTTTTTTTTTTCTTGTTATTTGTATTTATGTTATTTTATATATATTTATAATAATAAATTCATAATAATATATAATTCAAAAAATATGAAAAATTAAAAACAAAACTTTATCTCATGCAAATATTAAACTACAATAACTCAAATAAAAATTAACACTAATTTAAAAATACTAAATTAAAAGAAAATACAATATAACTAAATAACAATTTAATATTTGATAGATTTAAAATATATTTTTTTTATATTTATCGGAATCACTAAAATATATATATATATTGATTTTGTTTTGTCAATTACTTTGTTTTTTAAAGATCCTGCTATAAATGGTATCAGAGCCAAGTGGTTGTCAATAGCAGTTATGCTTAGGATTAAAAACCGCACAAAACAACACCCATAACGTAGTTACTGTAGCAGAGTACTTTCACAGGATATACTGTTCATCACTGTTTACTATTACTGTTCATACACTGTAGCAGTCTGCTGTAGATTACTGTTCATCCGTGCACTGTTCACAGCTTGATTAAATTAAAGGTTAGATTAATCTAGAAAGTTTTAATCTAGAAGAACTCTAGAATTGATTCTAGGTTACGCTTGGTCAGCCTGGAGGGGTGCGTTGGTCAGCCTGTTAACCGTTGGTCAGCCGTGTTAGGTGGTCCCGGAGGTGGTCCCGTACCTTGGTGGTCCCGTGATCTAGGAAAAACTAGAACTTTTGGGTTAGAATTATTTAGAGATGTCTAATTTCTTAAGGAATTAGGAATAGCAGTAAACAGAGATATTAGTAGCAGTAACGCTATTGAATTAATAATCAACAACAAAACACAATAATAATCAAGAATTATGAAATCTATTAACACTCAAGAGATTAATATGGAAAAATAGATCAACACTTACATAACTGGAACATACCACCAGTCAAAAAAGACACAAATATCAAATAGGTAGTTTTGAATTTATGTCGATTACTCTATTAAAACAACAAAGATACAATAAATACCCGAAGAAAGAGTTGAAGAAATTCAACTTCTTTCTGAAGAGCAATACATAGACACAGACAAAACAACTATAAATTTTTACACATAGGATTAGTACAAGTAGCAGTAAAACCATTATTTAGATTAGGACAAACATTCCAATATTAGTGATATTAAACCCAAGAAATTTAAACTTCAATAACTCTTTATTAGCAGTATTAAATTCTAATTTAGAAAGGGTCCCGTTTATTTTGATTGTTATCCAAACTTTACAGTAGGATTACATGATCCCACAATACTGTCTGCATTAACATTAATTTAAAAGCTTCTAATCTTACTTATCAAGATAAAGCCCAACCATTAGCATTAATATATAGATTTATTACAAAGTTATGAAACCACAATAGTCCAAGAGCCATTAGGATGTCCCCACTAGGACACACATTTTTAGGAAGCCGATAAACAAAATATAAACCTTTACACCAAAAAGATTGCTTGGGATGAAATTATTAAACAAACAGATTGGAAATTAGAAAAATTATGCCCTCCAAAATCTTTACATGCAAAATAATTCTGAGATACAACAAATAATACAAGAACCAGACGGTACATAAAATTAAATTTAGAGAAACATCCTTAGAACAAAATCAACCCATAGTTACACAAAACTCACCACAACCCTAGGATTGAAGAAATTACAACACCTAGCCTTTCGTCAACAACTTCAACAAGTATTAGTAGGAGTAAACTATTCCCCTCCTATACAAAACCTGCATACGAAAACACATCAAGTCCACCTAGTTCACCAACATAATCAAGTATTAGGAACCTATAACAAATACACAATAACAAAACCTTTCGAAATAAATAAAGAATTATTAAACAAAATTTTTACAAAATTATAATAAAGAAAAAAGACAAATATTCTTTACAAAATTTAGTCTAGAAGAACAAAATACCCTTAGATCTAATGGTACAATACACAAGAAAAATTAAACAAAATATTTATTTCTTTAATTGGTTAGAAAATAGAAAATGTTATCAAGATTTAAGTGAAAGAAAACTATTTTTGTTACCACTAATGCGACAAAATTGGCAAACAACAACAAATAAAACTATTACATCTGTCCATCCACCTTTAGAAGAATTAATAGAACATCAACACGCAGAAATAATAGCATCACCATTTAAGAAAATCAATAGGATTGATGATGATCAAAAACAACCAAATTTAAGAGACATTAAAAATATTCAACATCAAAACAATTACTCTAATCAAATTCTCCACACCATTAGCCAACAAATGAATAGGATAGAGATAATACTACCCACATAATTACAAAATTTCAAAAACCCCCGGGAAGGAGATAATAGAATTCAACAAATTCACCAACTTTAGGAAATTCACCATCAACTTTAACACCCTTTATTCACAAAAATATGTTAAACCATTTTTTGAACCCTTTGACATCCAGAGAAGAAATTATTAAACTCAATAATCACAATACTATTTTAGAAAATATAGTAAAAAACTTAGTGATTATCATCCTCTAATCAACATAATGTCCTTACAGAATCCGACCCAATGAAGAATTAAATCAAATTTTCAAAACTTATCTATTAATAAATGAGAATAATATGAGATATCCTAAAACTCGAAACTTAATCAGACCTTCTTTGCCAGATATGCAATTTGAAGATATATCACACTAGCAGATCTTCCTACACGGGAACAGGAATAGATGAATGGAATATAGACGTATAGCTGAACATCAAATATTAAATATTTTAACGAAATGACTATGGCAGCATTAGCTCATAAATCACATGACACACTGACCATCAATAGCAAAAATATTAGTCTCAGGATTTACAGGAATGTTAAAAATTGGTGGTATGATTTACCAGAATCACATAACACTCACATATTACACGCAACAAAAAAGACTAGGAAAGTCAAGTAGAAGGTACTAGCAAATAGAGTATGAACATGAAGAAGAGATGCTGTAGCCACATTAATTTATGCAATACACAAACTTTGTAGGAGACCCAACAAGCTTTCAGAAAAAATCACAAGAAATATTAGCTACCTTAAGATGTCCAACCATGGCAATTTTAGATGGTATAAAATATTTTTTTTTACAAAAAGTATTCACAAGAACAGACTGTAGGAAACCCTATTGGAAAGAAAGGTTCCTAGATGGTCTACAGATTTTTAGTCAAACTGTCAAAAATGCATTATACAAAAACACGATGGCAATATACCTTATGAAGACTTAACTTACGGAGATTTAATTAGTTTTATTAATACAGGCTTTAATATTTGCACTGATTTAAAATTAAAAGCTAAATTAAAAAATGAATAAAAACATAA